CGTTCTGTGATTCTGTGATTCTGTGATAGATGTCACTGAAGTTTGCAGAGCACAAGGAATCTCCACCACGTTTAAACACAAGCTTAAGATCTGGACAGCTTAGTGTAGTGGTATTTTCATGGTGGCAAAGAAGTGGAGTTTCATGTGAGATAAAATAACTCCATTACTAGCAAACCCCAGGATTCTCCGACAGCTCGTTTGTAGCAGAAAGCAATTGCTAGAGAACGTTTCTGCTTTGAATGTCACAAACCTGCTCCTGGAGTTGTGCTTTGTACTTTTCAGCTTCCTCGATGCAGATACTTTGGAGTTTCTCACATTCTGCAGTGTAAAACTGTTTAAGCCTCTCCTCCAGCTCAGCTAAATCATTGTGATGTTGCTGGTTTAACTTCTGCAAAAATCTTTCATAAGCAACTTGCAGTTCATTCCTGTCTCTCTCCAATTTCTCACAAGCTGCAGAAGTGGTTACTGAGGATGACAAAAGAAAAAAAAAAGTAACTGAATCAAGTTCAATGCTAATTTCACCATCTTCATTGCAAGTATTGAAGATAGTGAACGCTCTGCACAGCAACACTGTTATACTAAGACAAATATAATTTATCTGTGAAATGAGTGCCACCTCCACGGACACATGAAAAAGATCTTTGCAAAAAAATACCAAATTCAGTGTTTCTTATGCTGAGAATTAATTGAATCTAGTTGAGGCAGGAACCCATATAGAAAGCACAAGTGTGACAGTTTGCCATGACACAGAAGAATGAATGTCTCACAAGAGACACTGGAGTGCTCTAATAAAAAAATTAATTGGATTTGCTACTTCACCTAATTTGATCCCATTTCAGTAGTGTATTTGTCAGAGTGCTTCACTTTTCGACATAGAAACCACTCAGCTAAATTTGAAACTCTTAATATCCTGAAGACCATCCATTCAGCATATTACTCATGCTCAGATGTGTGGAGCAAAGCAAGTCTAGCCTGACATGGGCTGCCTGACACAGGACCACCAATCTGAAACTTACTGCTCATATGCACATGCCCAAGAAGTTTAAGTATCCAAGATACAGAATACTTTCAGGCAGGAAGTGCAGAGTCTTAAGAAAACAAATGCTGTGTAATTCTCTTCACTCAAAGCCTGGAAGCACGGTGAAACAGGACCTCTGACACAAGCGTGTGGTTACTGACCTTAAGCAGAACTGCTTCTATATAGACTCTAGTGCTTTGGTTTAAAATAAAGTAGTCTCATGAGTGCCTACTTCAGCAAAAAAAAAAAAGTCAACTAAAACTTTAACTTGGTCCTGAATAAAATACAGGCGAAATCGTGCACGCATACACGTTACAGCAGCTTGACACACTGCCCAAACAGTATAAACTCTGTGTAAAAGCATGGGAAGATGCAAGGATTTTTGTCAAGGCAGTGCAGGAAATCCTCTCCACAGCTGTGTTTGAGCCTCAAGATACCTGAATTACGGTATCTTCAAGGACTGACTGCCAAAGCAGTACTGGGCCCAGCTCTAGGGGAGAGCAGCCCACCTCAGCAGAGTGCCCCGAGTGACACACATGGAGGGTGCCTCTCTCCTACGGCCCATCGAGAGCAAGGGAGCAGTCTGATGAACGAGACTCGCCGTCTCAAGGGAACTGCAGAGAGGTCTTGGCCACGCTGCCATCACTTGAAACCTGCAGCTGACCTGGAAAGTGCAGGAGAGCAAGCTGTGCTGCATGGACATCCATCTGCACCTCTGTCTACCTGAGCGAGTTTTAACAGCGGGCTCTGTGTGAGGGATCTGCTGACTGGGACAGATTTAAGCCAAGCTGTTCACCCCGTGACTGGCAACAACGCAACTGCAACGTGCCACAACATTCTCTGCAACCCAAGCAGATTTCACAGCTTTCTATACTTTCTATACAACCACCAAGAAGGATTTTTATTTCCCTATCTTTATTCCTTCCACAGGGGACATTATTTTATAGTGCAAAGAACCAGGCAGCGACCTAAATGGAGAGGTTACACAGCCAACCACAGGCAGAATGGATCTGACCACCTACAGCAGAGTAAAAGGGGTACAGCTGAGAGGCTGGCAACTCGCATGCCTCATTTGAGGTAACTGCAGCAAACACTTCAAATGATCCACTTCCTTTAAAACCGGAGAAAGCAGCAAGCATCCAAGTCTTTGTTAGGCCAGAGCCATTCATTTGCCTTCATTTAGCTACAAGAACATGCTGCCTAAGGTTGTCTTGTCTTTAGATGTCAGCACGCAGAACTTCAGATGATGCAAAACGCTTCAGAAAGAAGGCAAATAGCAAACCACACCTTTGCTAAACAGACACATCGGTTCTTGTTCAGCCAGTTTGCAGTTCAGGTTCATGAGAAGACTCGTATCACCAAGGCAAACAAAAACTTTTAAAAGCTGCATTGGCAGCTGAACGTCGTGTTAACTTGAAGGTAACGCCTGGCCTCTGCAAAGCTGGGGTCTGCAATGCTTCCTTGCAGATTGCAAGCCTGACCTGAACCCTTGCCATCCGAACCAGGAGCAGAACCACCACACACCGGTGAGCTCCCAGTATTGTTGTGGTGCAAGGAACTGCATGTGTGAAGTTTCAGCCAAAGCACGGACTGAAGAATTGTGGATTTGAAACTGTGGGAAGTTCTGCAAACCAAAATTTATCCCCATATTTGAGATTCAAGTGTCTGCAGCAAGTATTCTGCACAGCCCTATCCATCTCCAGACTCAATCTAATTTATGGCTGTACACTGCCGTGTTCTAAGAAAGGGACGAGCCATGAAAAAGGCAACCAATTCCTTAATTTGGCCACTCATCCACTATAAGGAGTTGCTGCAAAACTCCTGACTAAACTCTGAGGTTGAGTAACCATCAAGTTCAGTTTCTCACAAAACTGGTGTTTAATTTTGAAGAAAAATGTCAAACTAGAATACATGCTCTTCTTGTAGCACACACAAAATCTCTAATTTCAACTTCTCATCCGCTTGAAGGGCGTGCTTCAGAGTTTTTGTACACGACTACTGTGCTTCATTTTCCATCTTAAAGTGCTTCCCTCCACAGTTCCACTTCTTCATTATACCATGCATTATAACAGACCACAGAACTTGAGCAAAAAAAACCCTAAAAACAACAGGAGACAAATTGTCCAACAGCATTTGAGAGAAAAATCAAGCCACAGAGATGAAAAGAGGTGCTACCCATTTTTCCATTAAGTTTGCTCAATTTCATCTACAACACCAAACACTTTAAGGTGTTAAGGGTAGAGCACATGGAATGGAGGACTTGGCAGCCAGAAGCAAGGTTTACTTCTTTATTCAGATAGCAAAGCCATTAATATTTTCTTCCCCACTCAGCTGACCCAGCCTCTCCTCTCAATCACACAACACTGTCTCTCCCTGTATTATTACAACAGGGAGCAAGATTTTTTTTTTTTTTAGGTTTCTTAACACCTGTTTATTATAAACAAAGAGCCTGGTTCTTTGAGGCAGAACCATGACCTCTGGCAACAGGAAGTTTCTGAGATCTGGTAGCAGAAACACTGGTTTTGACATGTAAAATTAACATTACATGTCATTACCTATATCATATGTGGTTGTTAACAATGGCCACTTGCATCTTGGGCATTTCACTGCAAAGCTTTGTATGTGCCAGAACCATACAACAAATGCCTGCAGAAGAGCAGCGTGGAGAGCCAGGCATGAGGCAACATGAACAAGTAGCATCAGCTGAAGGAGAAGACTACAAAAGTTGCCTTGGTATCCCCAAGAAATCTATTTCATATTTTCAGTAAAGGTAGACAGGAGATAAGACCTTACAACTGTGGAATACCTCATTGTTATATTTTTTTTTCCTTATTCTAATTATAAAACAATTTATCATCCAATTCATTCCTTATGGCTAAAATGCTTACATAAAACAATTTTTCAACTGACATCCTCCTAAAAGTCACCGTAAACATAGCTCTAAGAAGATAAAACATAATGGATTTTTTTTTTACCTTGAATCCTAAATTAAATTGTTTTGAAACAGAAGTTATCTTTAAAAAATTGTCTAAGTCACTCACTGGTGTAGTTATGATTTATGAAGAGCCACTAGACTGACATTTTGAAGCAGAGGTCACTAGGACAGTAAACCAGCAGCGTTTTAACAGCTGTGGGGGATGTGAAAAGGGGATAATTACCAGAAAACATCAAGTATTTAACACAGTGTTATGTCACAGTGCATAACACTGTTGCTCTAACTTTGTATTTCACATTGTAAGATCTATTGTATGTGCTCCATTGACCAGTCAAGATCAATGGACACAAAGGCTCACTTCCTTCTCCATATATTTTTTAAATTGTTATCTAACAATTCATTCTCAATATTAGAAATTCTCCCACCCAAATTTGCTTTCACATTTATGACCAAGTATCTCTTGGTGCTACTTCTATAATGACACTAATGGTACAGGACATGAAGCCACATTTCATGTTTTTGTTCTTGGGCAAGCTGAAACGAGGCAATTAAAACAAAAAAAAGCATGCTTTAAGCTACATTTAACTGGGCATGGTTGAATACAGATGCGAAGCATCCAGATGTCTGCCAGGAAGTAAGCTCCTATCCTCTAATGCTGCAAACATGCAGGCAAGTGTGCAACTCGTGGCAAGTTAGGCCCTGCCCCAAAGAATTGAGATAAATGTCTACCTACTCTTAAGTTTTCTAAGGATCACGAAAACCTGAAAAGCAAATCACATTCACTCCATCTGTCTGTAAAACACAAGTCTTTTTTTAATGCAACCTTCAAAACATTTGAAAGGTCATTTAATAATAAAAAATAGCAAGAAGGTATTTTGAAGAAAATCTTGTTTATCAATTGCAATGCAGCAAACGGAGCAGAGAGAGAAAGGGGTCAGGCATTTTTGGCTGTACAGGAGACATGCAAACCTCTCCAGCCTGCTGAAAGAGGGTCACGAATTTTCAGAGGGCCAAAGCAGCACAGGCTGAGCCAGCCTTGCACCTGCTGCTCCAGAGCAGGACTGCGCTGGATCACGGCCAGCGCACGCTTGCAAAGAGGCTCCCAAACAATTTGAAGTGCAATTAATTTAGAGTAGTTTCGTGCTTCTGAAGAAATATGCAGCTCTTGCAGTTTCTACTTAGGTAATTAAACAAGTAGCTGGAAATCATTTACATGCTCACTTGCATCTCAATAAAAAGGGTAACAGGTGACAAATGCGACATCCGTACCTGCTCCAGGCTCCCAGAAACCAGGCATTTACATTCAAACCACAAAGTTTAATCTTTGTGGCTGGAGATTTTAAAGAAACTCAAGTTCAGACCCCAACTGTTAATGAATTTTAACTCCTTTGGAAAAGCCCATCTCCAAACACACCATCATGGCTAAACCTCACACGTGTTTCCAGGCAGCGAGAGCTAAAAGCAACATGTGTTGACCATCTACTCTGTGCAGTCACTCCGTTGCTGCCAAAGGCAGGTTCTAGGATTGCAATGTATATTTAAATCATTAAAAAAAAAACAACGGTGTTTTGGTAGGAAGGGTCATACAGAATAACCCAGGAAAATGGACAATTTGACAGCAAGCCAATTTGGTTTTGCAAGGCAAATCAATGTGCTTGCGAGTGCACACAATTAAAACTTCAAGAAATTGAGGAGTCCAAACTGTGCAGAGGGTGCAAGCTGCAGGAGGCTCCATGTTCCCCTCAAACACAGCAACAGACAGGGCACAGAACTATACCGAACTGAGGATACCTGGTTCTTCTTCCCAGACTGCCTGTCCCCAAACTGCAAACCAATAGGTATTAAAAACACAGCAGTTGTTACTCCACAAAACCTGTCCCAACACATCCATGCAACCAAAATAAAGAGTCAAACTGTACTTAACTTTCTGAGCCAGTCTGTGCCTAGATCCTACTGTGAATCAAAATTCACAGTACTTATGTCAAAACAGCCTATGGAAACCTTAAGTTCAGCTATATCCATTTAACAGTGCAGTAGAAAGCTGATTAGCAGGTGTGTATTTAAAAAGATTATTTTCAGCTAAAGCTACTGTTACAAGAAAGCTTTTCTTACACCTTGCCAACAAGAGAGGTCTGGCTGGCTTGCTAACTTTTTTTAATTTTTATTTTTGAAACAAACCTTTTTCTAAAGCCAGACGAAAGTGACGACCTGTGTAGTTTTTAATTTCTATGATTAAATCCACCCCCTTTACGTGCCGCGGAGAGAAGTACAGACAGGCTAGGCATGTGACAGGGTTCAGACAAAGGAGCTGCATGAAGATAAATGCTTTGCTGAAACCATGGTCTGGAAATCTCACAAAAGGAAGCGAGCCCGAGGCTGCCACTCAGATGCTCCTGCAGAGCTGACCCAGGCAGATCAGCTCCGTGAGGGGAACGGCTGCCCACCCTGGCCTACATCCCCTGCCTGACAGCTCTGTGTGCTCAGGCATTGCAGATCCATCAAGCTCTGCTGCATTTCAGGGTTTTTTTTCTGGTTATCAACCTACTGAATGGCAGATTCTTGCAACAGGAGTCTCAGATTGGAACGCAGCAGGCTGTTAATCAAAGCAGGAAGTTAAGTTTATGGGAAGCTCATTTAAGAGTGAGGCACCCTTAGAAAGAACTAAGCTTCCAAAAAAAAAAAAAACCCAAAAAACCAAACCAAACCAACCAACCAACCCCAAACCAACAAAAACTCAACAAAAAACCCTCAAATCAAACCAAGCAAAAAAACCACACCAAAAAAGTGGCAATGTGTAGAAGTGCTGCTAGCTTTTGATCTGCCCATCTAAGCTGAATTTTCCCATTCCTGGTAAGTAAACAAACATGGTACCTAGGCTGAGAAGTAAAAAATACTGCAGATGCAAGCACAGGGAAGAACAGAGACTTTCTTGCTCTGATAGCAATCCTCCTGAAGTCCTTTTCATGACAACACAAGTTTGTAGGAATACAAGAAGTCCATTTCCACACAGACTCCAGTTCTCCCCGCTCAGCACCAGTGGTGGCACAAGGCAGGGCAGAGGGACATCAAGGCAGAGGAAGGCTCTTTCAAAGCCACCTCCTGCTGAGACCTGCCTGAAACAGCTACAATCCAGGTGCTCCATCAGTAGGAAGGTCAAAAGCTGCAGCTTGACAGATGCCAGACTTCACCAAGCTCCAGAAAAACCCTCAGCTTTTTGGTACTAACCTTCTAAAATCAAAAGTGCTACACATTTCTGCAGTGCCTTTGGTACTCTCATCTATCTATTGAGGCTGCAAGGCTTTCTCTGCTTGTGATACTCCCCATTCACACATTTACAGGCTTTTTTATGCAGCATCAAATAAAGCTCTCAGAAAGCTGCATTTTAACATAACTCTCTAAACTGGACAACAGCAACAGCGACAACTGGAGAAGCTGTGCTCTGCTGCTTCAGCTGGAGAGGACGTGGAGACCCCTCCCTCCCCACCAAGCTTCCAACTGAGTAGTTGCCAGGGAATGCCCACCTTATTAATCAGCACTAAAAAATAAATCTGAACATTAAGTGCACCACCTGCACATAACAAAACCTACATTCACACTCAAGTTTGGCTGAGACAACACTCAGCTTCCCAAGCACGTGAAAATAAACATTTCCAACTTTTCAATATGAAGTGACATATCTGAAACTGCTCCACACGTCTCCTTTCAAAGCTTTTTTCTTTTTTAAAGCACTTCATCGTAACAGAAGTGTGCTTTTATAACATGCTAGTTTCACTTTCAACTGCAATCATTTTCAATCCACTTTTTGCACTCCATAAGATGATTCTGCTTTGAGTTCAAGTAAGTTCTATGAAGTTACCATTAAATGCAGTTAAATTGAGCTTCAAAGTCAGCTAAACCAGCTCCTGCACATTATAGCTCAATTTCGTATTATAGCTGTCCACTAGGATGAGTTCAAGGATTTAATCTCATTAGTCTGATAGCATTTCCTTCTGTTCATTTTGCACTCAATCGCCTACAAGCCACTAAGGCAAAATACACATTTTGCGCGTATATTTTACAGATTTATGGTTTTTTTTTTCCAGCAGATCTGTAGAAAACAGAGTAAAAATAAGTTAGGAATCAAATAGAAGTGTATATACAGTCAGCCATCCTCTTCTCATTTTTAACGAAGCGAGTGCTTTGGTCATCAGACACATGTTTTGCCAGGAGGCCCCGCTAGGCGCAGTTAGATCAGTGCCAGGAATTCGGTGAACCTGGGGTCACCCTGTCAGGGCTCCAGAGAAATGCAGCGATTAAAGCATCTCAGCAGAATTCAGTCAGGGAATTAAATGAGTACCATTACGATACCAGGGCATGTGTCTTTCTGCAGATCTGTTTTCCTGCATTTCTGCTCTCATGAAGAATACAAAGATAAATTCTTACCTAGTTCTCCTCGAAGGTTAACTAGTTCTTGAGATAACTCTTTACGCTGTTTCAGTGCTTCCTCCCTCTGCAGAGAAAAACAAAACAAAACAAAAAAACAAACAAACCCAAACATTGGTTACTAGTGATCTGTGCAGGGCACCTTCCAATAATTAACTGCCTTGTGGAAAACAAGAGGCGGGAGCAAGAAGCCAAGACATGAATCATTGAGGATAACAGTTCTGCTATTACAAAATACACAGATGTTCTTCTGTTGTAAAGGAAGTTATACTTTAAAACAAAGAATAGCTGTTTCCAGGATAACACTGCAATTAAAATCCTACTTAGCAGCAATTAATTATGTATTTTATGATGGGTGTAGTAGCATAAGCCTCCAGAACAAATCAACTGATAGCTGTCAAGGGCGCAAAAAAGTATGTTATACTGGTGAAAGAGGCATGTATTAAATATTTATTTAAGCTTACTCAAACACAAAACCAAAAACTTTGCTAAATGTTCAGCCTTCCATGAAGGAAAGGTGCAGCCCTATTCAAAGTTGAATACAACCCACCCCACTGCTTGCAGATCTCGATTTTAAGGTAGATGATGCCTCTTATACTGAGGGAATCATAACAAATCTGCACTCAAAACAAGCAGAGGCACCCATCTCCCTGCTCTGCCTAAGAGCTGCGCTTAGGCTGGGGGCTGGACAGCTGGCCAGGCCCCTCTGCCCTCAAACCCACACCCCGTGGAGAAGCACAGGCAGGGTCACAGCAGAGCTGCACCACAGCTCAGCGACTGGCACTGCACACCCGTGGCCACAGCATGGACGCGACAACGTCCAGGCTTCCCACTGCCAAGGTGCTTTCACCTTGCTCCCGTCCAGTTCCCTGCCATCGGAAAGGCGCTGTGAAACAAATACTAATTACCCTTGCTGCAGCACACTGAGAATAGAGGCACAGTTTGCTGCTTGAGCAGCCCATCTTCCAGCTCCGGCAGCCCCCGGCTCGGCCCCCCAGCACTCATCAGCGACGCGTGGGTGACGGCACCACCAGCCGGGCTGGTCTGGCCGTGGCTGAGCGGCAACGCTGGACCTTGCCTCTGCAGGTTATCCTACTTCCGTGCCGATCGCTCCCGACAGCAGCAGATACTGCAGCTTCTGCAATTGGCACAAGCAGCCAGCGATTACTTAAAGCCACAGCCCTTCTTTTATGAAAGGCGAGCCCCAGACATTAGACTGATCGATCTCCGCTTGCTCAAACACCAGCCGGACCGTGAAAGAGAATGCTGCTGCAGATAATGGAGCTTATTTTTAGCTGTTTCGAGCTTGCTGTTTGCTGCTTTCACACTTAATTTGTTGATGCGAAAATAAGCCACGGGAGGCCTGAGCTGAACGGGAGAGCCACAGACGCAGCAGCTTTGCTGCTGTCAATGCCCAGGCTTGCGTTCATAGCCCCTGCGCACACAAAGAGCTTGAAACTCAGTTTACGTGCTCTTCCTTCAGCTAGGATACAGTAGAAAAAAAGTTAATTAATGCACTGGCCCAAAAGTCACACAGACTTTTCCACAACTGACCACAGCTGATGAGTTCGCATGCTGGCAGTGCCACACCTACACCTGGTTTTCCCCAGGGAAAACCCCTCCTTTCCAGCAGGTTCCCCGTTTGCCCTCGGTTGCTCTCACCGCAGCCTGACCCCGGGCTCATGTCTTAAGAGCACCCAGCCCTGGTGGTGGGGAATACTCAGGGTATGCCTGCAGAACAAATAAAGCAGTATAACACACAGAATTCTTAATTAAAAAAACAAAACAAAACAAAAAACTAGGGGGAATGAGCACCCAGAAATGAGTCACACATTAAGGTCTGACACAGGACTAATCAAAATGAGTGATTATTATGCTATGCAACCTCATCTGCTGCAAGTCACAGGAAATTATTCTGCTGCTGAAAAGACTGGTTAGAAGAAAAGGCCAGCCCTTCACTAGAAATACTTGTAATTTTGACCCTGAATAGGAAACATCCCCTTTTAATCACCACCGTTTATGCAGTCTAACAGTTATTTGGACACTGACACACTGGCAGGGGCATTAATAGCTGCGTTGCAGTTTTACATTAAGCACTTAGAAGCTTTTTACAGCGACAGTGGGCTAAGACGGAAACCCACGCCTTGCTTTTCGTGTTATATCCTCCAGAGAGCTCGGTTATGGAAAGGACACGCCCTGCTCTTCCTTGCTCAGGAAGGAGAGATGAGTCATTGTGCTCCTGCTCAGCACCAGGTCTCACTACGGACACAGCATCCGATGATAACGTGAACTCTGCAGCGAGCTTTGAGCTGCATCCTAGCACGCTGGGACACAACCAGGTAGTGGATTTGCAAGCAAGCTAACTACCAAAGCGCTTTTGTTTTCTTGCTGTGGGCTCCTCGTGGGATTTTTCCAAAGCTTTTACAGTAACCTTGTCCATTACTAAATTACTGCACCAACACACTTTGGAGATTTATTTTGCTTTTAAATGCCTCTTCTTTGTTTGCATACCCATTCTTCATTCTGATTCTCAAAAAGCCATCCTTGAACCTGATTTCTTTCAGCCCACTCAGTAAAACATCTCAAATTTCCCCCCTCACCTAGTGGCTGGACCACACAGCAACTCTTTAAAAAGACTAGTTTTTGGTTAGTGTTTCCAAAAGGCCTGCTTCATGATCCACACATTCTGTGTTTGTTTTCAGTTAAAGCAATTCGATGAGAAAAGGGTACATGAGATCTGAAAATACTATGGATTGACAGAGGCTGTGCCTAAAGCCCCAAAATAAAACAGAATATCACTGCCTCACTATTTTTTTAAATGTTTCTTGCTTTCTGCTGCTCTCAAGCCCCCTCTTGCTTTTTACTGGTGCTGTTTAACCTTGTGCCTCAACCGCCAGCTTGTCCATTCATAGTCTTGCAAATCAAGAAATCCAGACAGATGGACTTGTATCATCACTGCCTGTTAAAGAATATATTCAGAAACAGTTTTAAAGAATATATTCAGAACCAGATAGCCAGAGACTGCCAGCCTCAAAGAAGAAGAATAAATAGGCCATACAGTTAAGCAGCCGCATAAAGCAGTCGGACTGAGTAGCAGTTAGTTTAGCACACTTATCTGAGAGAACTGAAGCTCCAGGTATGGAGTCTCCCCAAGAAAATATGAAAGTTTCCAAGACCTGAAATCTAAGTGCAGTGAAATACCAAAGACCACTTGAATAACCTCGTAAGAGCCATCTTCAGTATTTGAAGACAGGTACACACATACTTTGGGCTGGAATATCAAATAACCTTCTAGTTTAAGCTTTACAAGATTCCAGTTGAAAAATCAATACCAGAAATTGAAAGAGCAGAACCAAGTAGATCAAGTAATTTTGGCATTGTTCGTCTATCCAGATAAATATGGCAATAGGGATCATCCTCCCTTAGTTGTCAGAGACTCAAGAAGGGTCTTCATACCAATTGAAAGCTGTTTCTGGCACAACTTATGACTTTATGCCAACATCATGTAAGGATGACTGGGTACCTATTTTCCTTAACACCAGAAAATCTATTGTATCTGCACAAGAAACCCAGTTGAACTTTAGCCAAAACATTTCCCCTACACAGAAGCTGTAGGAAGGAACAAGAACAGAGCTTGGGGATAAAAGCTTTGCCACAGGCAGTATCAGGGAGATGCACCTCTGCTACTGGACCCTGCAAAAAGACCTCTCAGCATACGGAAGGAGACTTGGACATTTCTTGTTATGTGAAAGATGAGGCAGTTAAAAACCCTTCACATGTTCTGAAAATTTGATGAGCGAGTTCAGGAGGATGTGAGCCCCATAGCAAGGACACTTGGGAAGGTGAGGTATGCCCCACTACAAATGGATGGCAAAAGAAGAGGTGCAACATAGGGGACTGAGAACATGACAGTTTAAAGATGACAAAAATGACCAAGTCAGGAATGGAATAAGTTACAAAATTCCTCATTCATGTTTGTTATTGGCAGCTACACGGACCAGTTACAGGCTTAAGAGTACTTTTACTGGCAATCAGCTGTTCGTGCTACAACTTGAGATTCAAACAGACCAGCCTAGGGTCATTTTAGATACAAATGAGGGTAATGATGCATCAACATTGCATTGCTCTGCTTCAAAAGCAGGAAGCTCTACAACAGCCCACATCCCAGAATGAACAAAACAGGTATTTATACCAAGCACACAAGCAGCCAACCTTCTGGCTACGTACCTATGACAAATCTTCACATTAGAAAGACGTGAGATACCTCCATGCTCTGCCTGCAAGTCAAGGCTTTGAGAGCCACATTTTGGCTGTGCCTGGCCAAAAAGCCCTATTCACCTTTTGCAAGTTTTTCCTCTGTGTTAAAAGCTACAAGTCCTTGAACCACTACTTGATGTGAAAAAGCAAACCATGGCACAAACCAGGCTTCAAGTACACATGTCCAAATAAGCTACCACCACCTATCTGGTAGTAACGATCCACGTATCCCAGTTCACACTTTAAACAACCACACTCCTCCTGGAATCAAAACATGTACTCCTTTGGAGTCACATTAAAGAAAAAACTCACAGGAACCAAAACTGAAAAGGTTGCATTTTTATACCAAAATATGAGGTGTGTTTGTTAGTTTGTTAATTTCAAGCAGCTATGTCACACCACTATCTATGTGATAAGCTACCTATCACAGTTGTCTAGTCTACCCCATGCAAAGTTATCACCTCCTCCAGGAGCTCTGTGGCATTTCAAACTTTGCAAGCTTCTGTCTTAACAAAACCCTCACTCAATTTTTCATCCTCAGCTTAGCGTTCCCAGATCTTTCTCAAAATTGTACTTGTGTGAAGCTTCTATCCATAAAGTTCAGAAGAAGCATTATTAATTGGCAGAACCAAAAATTGACAAAGATTAAAAAAAGCATTTTATTAGACAGACTAAATAAAATTTGTTCAGAGTGCATAAAATAAAGGCAGCACTTTAATCAGTTTTACTGTCATACACAGGGTCAAATTAATTTATTCTGGGTAAGGAAAGCCTGATTTTTGAAATCCATTTGCTCAAACCACAAGCACT